TTTGAATATTCATATTTTTATTGTTTGAAATGCCCAGGTTGCAAACAAATTCTGGAAAACTTAACAGTAAATAGTTTTGAAAACTAATAAACATCAAGTGATTCATTAATTTATTTTTATAATGTGCCTTTCAATTTTGATTTTGACAAAATATTGTTTTTAATTGTGTTTTATTTTTCCTAATGGTTGAGTCACACAACATGTTATTTGAAAATAACACAGGAATGTACTTTTTTGACACTTTTGCACTCATTGATGTTATGCAATGGATTAGTGATAACTGTAAAAGTGACACAAACATATACAAATATTTCAACCATTTGGATCCACTTTAAACTCGGGTTGAAAAATGATGGCATTTTCAAATACATTGTAGTTATATATTAAGAAGCAGTTTACTATATTAAAGGTCTCTCTCTCTCTCTCTCTCTCTCTCTCGAGTCTTATGATTTATGTCTTTCACGCATAAGTGTATAAAACAGTAGTAATTATTATACAATAATAGCAGTCATACCAATACCTACCGATACATTTACACCTGTAGACTCACTACCAATCCCTGTATTATTTAATAGATTTCTCTCCTTTTTTATAAAAATATATAAATGAAAGGAATTTTTATATAGAAATACTTAATAGGTTTGTAATCCTATTCACATGTTTTACACATGAAGTTATAGAATATGTTTTATTGAATATGAATCACATGAGTGTTTCACTATTTTACACTAGAATTGTAATGACTAATGAGTGATATATTTAACCTATTGTGTGAAGAATATTCTTTATAAGAATTATAGCCTTTTCTAGTAATTATTAACAATTTGCGGAATCTATGGAACATTAATAGAGCGAATGATAATATAATTATAGGCATAATAATGGAATCGATTAAATTTGATGTTTTATTTCACATTTGATTGTATTCTAAAAAGTTTTCAGTTTTATGTACATTTCAAGTATTAGACAAAATTCGTGATCATAAAACACTTGCAGAAAATTTATTTGAAGGGAATATCTGTGAGTCTGGATGAAGTTTGTAGAGGACTGACAGTTGATGGGATGGTTGACCCAACATAATGCACGGCTCACTCAATGACAATCTCTCTCTCTCTCTCTCTCTCTCTCTCTCTCTCTCTCTCTCTGGTCTAATGTCAATCACAAATATTAAATTCGCCTTAAAAACAGCTGGTCATGAAATTAAAAGTTTAGCTTTTTTATTTTTGTCATTAATGTGGAAAATTTAATAATAGATGTATTTTAATGTGAAATTATAGATATTTTATAAGTTATTTTATAGATAGCTGAAATATATAATAGTTAGAAATTGAATCGAATTAATAATCAATAGATTTAAAAAGTATGGATCACTAAGTTATAGATTAAGTTTGCTTGTTTGAGTTATTACTGGATACAAAAAATATAATCAATTATTAAATTTAAAGACAATAAATATCTATAAATATAAAAAATATTACGTTAAAATGTCTGCAATTAAAAAATGCTCTTTGGGGTTAAAACAATTAATCAATACATAAATGGTCTGGTGAGGTTTATTTGCACTGCTTTTTGTGACAAAAGGATTTAAAAATAATTTATAAGAATTTACAAATTCAACAGATTTTTAGTAAAACACATTTGTTTTATTGAGCAAATGACTTAGGTAATCATTTAAAATAACATCAAATATATTTAAAATTAATTATGTAGCAAATTGCGAACTAAACTTATGCAATAAGTACCGGTACCTTTTGTACTAAACATAGTAATTTGAAATTATATTTTAATTATAACTGTTTGTAAGAATATTAAAAATATGAAAACTTTTAGTAAAATGTTTTTGATAAAAATCTATTCACTATTTTAAAAACAATTACTAAAATGTTAAACAAATTGCAATATAACATAATTTGTCATTATTGACAAACATTTTCGCATATTTCCCAAAGATTTTCTGACCCAACATTTTATCGTTTATTTAATCATTTTGTACTACAATTGAGTAGATTTTTTGGGGAGAATAATGCTATTATTTAGCTATTAGTGGCACACTATTAACAAATTTATGTAAAATAAAAAAAATAAGTCACAAATATCAGCCCAAAAATCACAAATGAATGGAAACAAAGTTGTGTAGTATTTGCATACAATCAATGGACGGACAGGTGAGCAAATGGCAAAAGTCATGGAAAGTAGTACTGAAATATACGGCAGTTTTTATGTTATTTTTTGTGTGAATGGTATGACTTATGACGGAAATGGGGTTAATCTAAATGACATGCGATTAGGAATTAAAATATAAACTCCATTTCCTTTTGATATGCGGTGTGTTTGCCGACAGACTATACGATTAAATACAATATACCGTAACTTTATTATACAATATACTGGATATTAAAAAATAATTTGCCGAACCGTATGTCACATTAATTGTTAATGTCTTTATGCAAAATAAACTTACAAACTGTATGTATAAACTGTATGTATGTATGTATAAACTTACAAACTGTATGTATATAGAGTTTCAATATTTTCATTTGTCATATTTGTTGATAGATTAAAGACTTCAAATTCATTGTAATTGATATATCATTGAAATACATTAATAAATATTACTTTTNATTTAGATTTAGTATTCATAGGGTTGGCATTTAATTTAATCTTAAATATTTTTAGCTAATTTAGTAACACTCATTAACATTCAACTAATTTACAAATTCATTTAAAATTATAATAAATATTTATACTGATAGCAGCATCACTGCATTATCTAGTCGTTGGTAGTATTACTGGTGAACAGTAATGCAATTAATTCATGTCTTGTGAATGCACACAAAAGACACACATTTTTGTGAACTCAAAACAAGGATTGGTGAGTGCATTATTAAAATATGACCAGGTTATAAAAAGTTTTAAATTTTGTAAAAATTGTACATAAAAGACTTATGTTTTCTGAACATTTTGGTGAAGTTTCCTTACCAGTTAGAATATAATAATTATAAGTACTGTATGCTAAAAGGTTTAAAATAGTTGGGATACGTTGAGACACACCTTATTACCTACAAAATAGTTTACAATGTTTGAATTCATATGTACGATAATAATATTATTATCTTGAGATGAGGATTACAAAAGCATTTTAAATGGTTTAAGCTTTAATTGCAGAATCATATTAAAATCATATAGCATCTATTTCCACAAACAGAATCTATGTATCATTTATTATAAATTGTTTTCAAGGAAATTTTATAACATTTTTTATTTTTGTACAAAATATAAGAATATAAACATGATATGTTATTTTAAAATTTATTATCTGAATTAGTAAATAACAAGTTTCATAACTCAAAATTATAGGTATAATTTTAAATCTATTGAATAATGTTATTGTTTTCAAGAGTTACATAAACACACACAGAAAACATATTTTTCTATTATATGGACTGAAATAATACTAAAATACAGACAAAGAATGATATTTTTAATATTTTACAGAATAAGAGCAGTGCATAAAAAACTTGGATTTATTGAACTTATGTTTTTAGGTCTACCTATGCTACCCATCCCTTTGGTTGTAGTAGTTTCATAAGCTTGGATTCAATAGTTCGTTGGACTTATGATAAAAAAGAGTATATATTCTGTGTTTTTGCCATAAACTATAATAATTGAATTGACAAAACAATAGCGCAATGGAAGTGAAACAGTTGTGGTTATACAGAGTGTGTACTGATATTAATAGAGGACTCAAATCCTCAATCAATTACTTGTTTGCTTACATAACAGGTGTGACTTTCAAAAGGCTAACACTCTATACAATCATTGATCGCTAATAAGATCTGAATTAAAAATAATAAAAGTTATTTTTGCCCCGATATATATTCAATTGATTTGCGAGCATACTATATATACACTGTACTGTATGTGTGTATTTTGGTTTGAAAACATATTTTTCACTTTAAAAATATAACATCTATTGACTGAAATCATAAAAATAGATAATCGAAAAACAACAATACAATTGAGACTTATTGACTAAAATACTGTACAAATTGTGTTCATAATTAATGGATTGTTTTGTTTATAGTTCCCTGAAATGGAGATTAGTTTTAAATGGTTTTGAAAGCGAAAATGATTCACAAACAAAATACTGAATCAATTAATTAGATTTGATTTTTTATACATGTACATTTTGAAACATGTAATATTCATTTGAAAGTCAAATGAGTCATAAATTTGGTTTTAATGACTAATAAAATTAAAAAGTTTCCAGAATTGCATTAACTATTGAAATAATTAGCGCCAAAGTGTCCTATAATTTGCTAATTTTTACAAATAATAAGTGATACAAAAAAGTAATCAATTAATTGCATTTTGTGTTTAGTGATTGGTTTCAATTGATACAAATTTATCACAAAATGAGAGCACAGAATGAAAAATAAAATTGATTTCATGATAAAAATGGAGCAGTCATTTAAATACACTAACTCTTGCAACAAACATACAATCATTTCTGTATTTATGTGAACATAATAAGTGACTTTCAATCTGGAAAAGTCATACAAAAGCAATCAATTATTGATATTTTAATTGAAACATGAGATAAATTTGTTTACCGTTAGTTTTAGAGTAAATACTAATTTGTTTTTGCCAACATACTATTAATTTAAGTGTCAATTTAATACAAAGTTTTTATATTATTCATTATTAACTTTTTTATTGATAATAAGCATACTATTAATACAGATATTCAATGGGATAACACTTTGTTTTAATTAACAATGAGAATAATTCACAAACGAGTTTCAATTTCTTATACAATGATTAGAAATAAATCGTAAAATGTCAAAATTTAGCTAAACTATGGGCTAACTGTTTGAGATCTTATTTATAGGTAACGATTATATAATCAATAGTAAATATGATGCTTTTATAAGACATTGGATATAATATTTGAGAGCTATATCTCAATACTGTAGTAGAAATGCAATATCAATGGGAATGTCAGATACAGTAATACTGTTTGAAATGCTGATTGAGTCTGCACTGAGGTGATGTTTATTTGAAGACATAACTATCATGAAGTTTGAGATCAGTGTTGTGTAGGTGCTGGGTGTCCCGGTGCCGTCTGAGGTCAACCTTGCGTTGAAATGCTCGGGGACAGAGTTCACAGGCGAACGGCTTATATCCGGTATGTTTGCGGGAATGTGTGATTAGATTCGAGGACTGACTGAACGCTTTGCCACAAACCACACACTTGTGTGGCTTTTCGCCGGTGTGTATATACGTGTGTTTCTTCATGTCTGACTTCTGGTGGAATCGCTTACCTATTCATCGAAAACACATTTTTGTTATTCAACTGACATATAACTCAGTAAGACATATGAAAGTATAGGGTTAAATCATACTGACCACAAAACACGCAGGGATAGGGCCGGGTGTCTGAATGAATCAATAGGTGTGTGGACAGAGTGGAGGATCGTTTGAAAACTTTTCCGCATTGTTTGCAATCAAATGTGCGCTCATTTGTGAGGGACCTGTAAATGCGGTGTTTGTTGGACTTGTTGTGAGTGAAGAGAGACAATGGCATCGACTTGAATGGCGGCGAACCCAGCGGTGAGTTGAGTGCAGAGTAGATGGACAGCGGAGGCGACGATGAAGCGGTCGATAAGCACTTCTTCGACAGATTCATGGGCTCTTCGGTCAGCTTTGACTGCATATCGTGTTTACTATAATGACTATAACTATGACTATATTTGTTGTCTTTGTCTCGTTTGAGGTTCAGTATGGACTCGATTGAGTAGTCAGACATCTTTCGCTTGGGAACAGCTCTGAGTGTGTGATCTGAATGTGGTCTCGAGTTCAGTATATTCGGGGTGTTCTCCAAATGCGATGGACTGATACTCATGGGTGGCATCAGTGGCGGCGATGCGGCCCGTGTTTGACGATTCATATAGGAATTCATGCCTAAAAACATGTTGACAACAAATATATGAGTAAAGCTTTTTCGTGAACAACAAATTCTGTGACAGAAAAGTGATGGAAACAGAAATTAAATAAAGTTGATGCTAAAATCTTTCGCTTAAATCACGTGAATATTATGCTCTCATCAGTTAAGTATTTGTCGAAAACAATTTGTTTTATGTTTTCAGACAAAATATGTTTAATTTTAATAAATGGAAGTTTTTGTATGAAAATAAGAGTCAATGATTCAAAGGAAATGTATTTAAATATACAGTATATATACGATTTCAAAGTATTGAACAGTTGTTCAAACAGTACAGTTGTGTTGTCTGGATATTCTTTAAATATCCGTTTCACATGTATTTAATGTGAAAAGTTTTACAAATTAATTACTAGTAAAGCACTGCTTCTTGATGTGAAACCCTTTTTGATTAATGATTGCAATGTTATTATGACTGGTGAATTCAATTTGCACATTATTACTAAAATACATTTTAAACCAAATGTAAATTAAATTAGCTTATGAGACAGATAGACGTCTGAGTTATACGTGACTTTTCTCATCCATTTCATTGAATTGCATTGTTTTCAAATAGGATTTGTAGTAACTTTGGTGGGAAATTGTTTCTTGTTTGTACAGTAGCCTACGTTTAAATTCATAAATATACTAAAATAGACCATTTGCTAAAAATCTAAATTATAAAAATCGCATTTATCTTTGTTTAATCTTTTTGTAAACAATTATATTTACACTTTTGTGTTAAGTGGCCAAAGGATTGTGTGATAAAGATTTCATTGAAATAATACTTTTATACACTTTGATGCATTAATATAAATATTAATAACTTGTTAAAAATAAGATTTTATTTGCTTTGATTTAAGTCTATAGTATAGACTCTATACTGTACATTTAGTGCACTAACTTTACTTTAAAAATAATTAAAGAATTTCTAAATATTGAAACTGTTTTTCATTAAAAGCAATAGTGCAAGTATGATAGTAGGCAAAAGTGTTATATAAATCCAGATTCGGAATTAAAAGTCAATCAAATACAAGGACTTTCGCTAATTTAATGGAAAATGTAATTACAGTTCTAGTTATGAATCATTGCATACGAGAAAAGAGTACAAAACATTGTAAACAAGATTTGAATCACAAACAGAGAGATGAGAGGAGAGAAAATGACAGCAAAATAATGAATAAATTCGCTAAAAATAATATTCATTGGTAGAGATTGGCCGCCAAAATAACATAATAATGATGGTTTGCAATCATATATTTTTGGTGATATAACAATAGAGAGTCAAAAAATAATTATATGAATACATGCTATGCATAGATAGAAGAGAGAGAGAAAGAAAGAAAGAAAGAGAGAGAGAGAGAGAGAGAGAGCGTATAGTGATAGACACGGAGGAGAGTTAGCACTGGGAGGACAGGGAGGAGAGTGAGAGTGCCACGAGCATAGGGGGATAGGATAGTGCGGTAACCCATATATGAAATGATGATTACGATTGACTCACCTGTATGTACAGCATAGCCGCTAATATCGGTGCCATTGGAGTGGTGAAGCCAACTGTTATTTAGTGGCAATGCATTGACACAGCAGTGACTGTGTTGTGGCCGCATAGAGGGGCCAGTATTGCATGGAGTGGTCGTGTGCCACGTGTCGCGCGTACCAGTTGTTGCCAACAGCACAGGTGCGCCACTCGGAGCACCACCACTGCCACAGCGCTCGTAATTACCGGCACTAATGTATGGCATACTATATGGAGCTATAGATGAGAGTCTATGGTATGGAGGCGATGGAGACGAGTGCTGACTGTGGCGCTCGCCATATGTCTGGGCCGGTGGTGGTGCTGGTGGCCGGCCCTCTACGCTAGCCTTCATAGTGCTGGCACACAATGAGCCATAGATAGAGTGCTGAATCAGTTCCCTATTATGAAGGGCTGACTGACGTTGAGGTATAAGAGGCGGTGGTTTAGGTAACGCCGATCTGCCGGCGCTTCTCATCTCATTCTCTCTCCTCTTCTTCGCCTCAATCTCTCTGATGAGCGTCTCATCGATCGACTCATCACCCGATCCCTCACTGCAAGTGCTTTCGCCGCTCATCGATAGTAAAGTCATATCTATTTTGAGGAGAAAAGCAAACAGATTATTAAAAAATTGAAAACAACAAAGTTTTAAATGAAAATTGATTTTTGAGATCACTTTTCCTAATATTTTAATCTCGAGAAACAAAAAGTTTTATATAAATGAGAAAAGTTTCAGATTTTGATACCCATATTTGTTTGCTTTAAAATATATTTACTGTATTAAAATACAGTGAAAGCAGAAACTTTAAAACAAATGTTTGCCTAATTCTGTGATAACTTTAGATTTTTAAAGATTGATTGAAAGTTTCAAATTATTTGTGAATAATAAGAGTATTGAGACGACTTGAATACAATTAATATGAATGAAAGTCAGATATCGACCGAAATCTGTCGCATAACTCATAAAATATAAATATTATGATAATAATTAAAATTAATATGCACAAATAAATCGTAAACATAATACTGAATATAATTAATAGTTAATAATAAATCATTAATAACTTTTATACCTAAAATCGGGTATTTATTTCTTTATAAACAAGAAATCTTATAAAAACGCTTTAATTAATGTGAAACTAACTTCAAAAATAAAGCTTTTCCTGTAATATGGAGTATCATTACATTTAGCACAAAGAAAGAAGAAAATTAACTATAAATCAAACTATTTATACGAAATTTATTGATTACAGGTATAGGCAATATAATTGTGTAATATAGAAGGGATTCATATAAAAGTAGTCACAAATCTCTGGTCCACATGTGTGTGATTTTAAGTATATTCTACTCATTAGTGCATTGATAGTGCGATTAGTAGTAGATTATAAAATTGGTGGGGGATTTGATGACTATATTATCTGTACATAGTTGGCAAAACTTTAAAGTATAGAAAAGGTTCAAGCAGTAAAAAACATGTTTATATTCCCGAACCTCCACTGAGGGCTAATCACTGCGATTACGGATATATTTGTAACAGTTATTTGTAAATAATATATCAGTTTATTACTATATTCTAAGAACTATCGGGTGATCACATGTAATCACTGAATGGACTCTTTTATGCATGCTAAAAAATATTACCATAAATTCAAATGATTTGTACAATTAATGAAATGTGGAAATAATAATCTCCTGAATGCATATATCTATACGAAACTCATTTCGTATAGAAAGCAGCAGTAATTTGTCGCATTGTCTAAGAGTACAAAGAACTCTCATATAGGAGTTCATGCGACCGATTCCCCCACGCGTTGTGTATACATATGCGACTGTAAAGTGTACTCTGTTTGCTGTGCTCTAAGGTTTGAGAAGTTAACAGGTGTTCCCACTCTGTCTATCCCCTCAACAATTGCTGTGTTTTTTGATCATATTATGTATAAAACTTTTTTATCGCAACTCGCAAACTGATTGTCGGTTAACCACAACCGAGTTGGTGATAGCTTTTTGGTGGTATAATTGAGATTTAAATTGTTTGCTTAAATAATCTTACGCATAAGTCTATAAATGTAATTATTATTAGCCTATTAAATCAATTCTTATATGATGATTGTGATTGCCGGTCGAAAACATATTAAAACTCTTATTACATAGTCGTAATGACTTATGATATTATAAATAAAAAGTTTTATTTCTTATAAAAGTGGTTTCATTATATAATTTTCCAATGATTTTAAAATAAAAATATTGATTAAGCAATTTTATGTAAAAGTATTGAATATATATTGCTTAATATCGTAATAAAAAAGCTCATTTATTGGTGAACAAAAAACAAAATTGAAAATGAAAAAGAGAAATAAAAACTTTTTTAAAACGATATGAAAAATATTTGCAAAAAAAAAGTTAGAGAGAAAGACATTTATGTAAAACAGTATTATTATCATAATTTTTCATATCATTAAGAAATCGAAGTTTTATTTCAAAGTTGAGTCAAGAATTACATGAATAAAAGGGCAGATAATTAATGACAAGTCGATACTAAAAAGTCGTGGCGAAAGCACCTACTGATAGGAACGGTAGGTACTTACAGATGTGCCACCGAATGCCTGACTTTCTATAATCACTTACAATGTTTCGTTATATTACTCTATTTTTTGTGTTCATTTATAATTATATGAATACTTTGGACTGGTGTGGGGAAAGGCTATGGATTTTTCGAGCTACCGTTCCATTACAGTTATGACAAATGCATACTTTTTTATCGCTAATAGTGCTCTCATTTGTGTCTCTCTCCCTATCCCTATCCCTATGTGTGCCATTGTATGCCACTATATGCCTGCAAATCACAATCAATGGCTCTCCTCTTGTGTCCCTAAGATCTCGTGTGACTCTTAATATACTTTCAGATGCAATTATTCACACGATTAAGACGCCAATCAATAATAATCTCTTTGAAAAAGTTTTTAATTTTCGATCAATCGTTGAAATGTCTATTGATTGCATCGAGTAATCAACCCTTCAGTTTGTTTATATAGAATGCATTGTATTAATAGGTAAACAACAGATTTTCTTGAAAGCACTTCAAACACAAAACAAATGATAAGTTTTTTTGTTTCTTTAAGAATCAAAAACACACTATAAATCTGTTTTCCTAATCTTAATATTGTATTCATATATTGTTTGAAATTGCTTGCTCAAATAATCAAAACATGAGACATGAGTCTCTCTCTCTCTCTCTCTCTCTCTCTCTCTCAATCCGTTAAACTAATATTGAACAGTAAGAACACACAAAAAGTTATGTAAAGTTAGGACCAACTGTTTTGTTTACAGTATAACAAAAATTCATTATTGTGTTTAGTTGTTTGTAACTTAGTTTCAGTTCCTATTTAATAGTTTTGTGGCTTTGCTTACAATCAATAATTCATTGAAAAAAATATACCGAAAAAGTCAATGACAATGAATGGGTCGGGTATGACAATAGAGAAGCATTGAAAGGAATAGTCAGTCAATTGTCAAAAGCCACGAATTTAATCATTAGCATATTATTAGTGTGTATTTTTGGACTTAAAATCTGAGGCATATTCGCCACAAAAAAAGTTGACTAACGCTATCATTTGGATAGATTCACACAAAACTAATGGTTTGTGTCCAAAAAAAAGTAAAATTTTTATTACACAGAATCCTATATAAGAATATGTGATTCACTGTATATTACTGTAAAAGTTAAGTATAATTTGGGGAAAATTATATTTTTTCAGAGAATACTGAAAATTATTATCTATTATTATGACTCCTGTTTCTAATTACGTAAAAATCAATTCATATTTCCGTACAATAAAAAATGACTTTTGTCTCCAAAATTTGTATTATTTTCGATATAATCACTAATAGTTTACGAGCTAATAAATCATTACTTTTTCGGTTACAAAATCTAAATGTTGTATCGAAAACAATAAATTAGATAACAAAGTGAAGCAAAAGTATATCAATATATATACTATAAGTTATATACATTATATACACGACTGGAATATCTACTGTATATTGAATTACTGTTAAATACAGAGAGAGGTAACGGTTTCTAATGAAATACTCAATTTGCAGGTGAGATACACGAACCGTGACCTATAGGGTTATGAGTCATGGCCCCGGGTGTCGTGCCCCTACCATCACTACCACACAATAGCATGGCAAACATGTATGTACACGGGGTCGGGACGACTTTGTTTATATCAAGTGTATTAACCACAACTTACAATCCCACCCTAAGCGAGGAAATTTGTCATAGATATGCGCACCGATGCCAATTGTCACCCGATTTATGCTCATGCACGCGGTTTGGGCACATATATATGACACTAAATATTACAGTATAATAGTGATTTTCACTGTACACTACTGTTTTTATTATTGCTATTAAATTATAATTTTTGTATAACTTTTTTGTTTTGGGTCGTGTGATAGCGATTGCGAGTCAAATGCAGTCAAATGTCGAGTGCTTTTATGGCCATAAGTGCGGAACACTGTTATTGTATTTGACTGTTGGATATAATATAATATGATATAAATAGTAAATTGTATGATATATACCGAAAAGTAAGTACTAATTCCGAGTCAAACATTAGAGTCGAAAAGCCAGGCATGCATTCACTGCAATCTATATGTACTGTAAACGGTAATTAACGATTTGGTCATCAATAAATACGTATGTTATGTGTGTGTTTAACCCTCATTATCAGTAGTCTTAGACCTTAGATTATTAACAAAAGTCTCTATTTCTCATTTTCACATCTTTGCTGACCAGAAATGATGCACTCTTTGTGCTCATATTTATGCAAATTGTATAATTATTTGATATTTTTGCAAACTTTTATCAAATTTTGTGCTCAAAGATAACTCTTTACTCTATTAACTCTTTTATCTGTCACTAAATCTAGTGAATGAAATAAATTTTAATCAATGCTTTTAATTATCAAATGTTCAGCAAAATAGCATAAAAAGTTTTTGTTTATCATTAAACGACTTTGACTTCTCATAAAATTATTTTGACTTTTTTATTCAGAATAATCATTTTAATATATTCTGTAAATTGTTGTATAATTTATAAGCAATATCTATTTGCTAAGACATTAAGAAGTGATCAATAGTTTATTATTAAAAACTTGTTCAAGTTAGTTTTAAATTAATAACTAACTATTAAAAATTGATAAAATTTATATTTTAATTAATAAAATAAAATTATATGAAATGTTGTTCAATAGACTCACCGACAGGTTCTTCGCCCTCCTTATTGTTATTAACAATCTTTTGCGAGAAATTCTTGATTAGAAAAGATTTTGGCATTTTTTACTCATTAGATATTATTAATGTTTTCATCAAATTAATTAGAAATTATTTTATTGATTAAATATTTAACTTTTTTGGCAAATACAATTTACAAAATGGGTTTAAAACTTGTATGAAAATCTTATACTACTTTCAAAGTAGCGATGACTACAATATCATTGACTTCTTTCGTATACGAGTTGACGAGAAATAAGTATATTCTCTGAAAGCTTGAGAATATAAACAGAAAAAGTGATGCTATGTTGTGGTGTCGGAGCTATTATATGATTGGGAAAAGTTTTTTGTGTGTTATTTTCAGTGCAGACTTTAGGCACACCGTAAGCCAAACGCTGCCTAAAAGGCATTGATTGCGCCGTCAGTGCGAGTATTGAGAGGCGGAGACTCGGCCTCATGTATGGCATGATTGCGCACTCTTTGCACATATCTGTTGGATATAAACCTTTTAAGATTGGCTCTCGGGATGAGCCCAGGGATCACATACTCTCTCATCACTATAAGTGAATTCAATATGAAATTGAGAATTTTTCAAATCAATTTTTTCAAAATAATTTGGCAATTAATCAATAATTAAAACACGAAGCTAGAGAATGTAATTTTATGTATAAGTTTTTTGTTAGATTTACTAAAATGAGAATTAATTTCATTTACTGTTACTTTAAATTATGTAATTACTTCATAACTTTAGTAGGATAAATTGTGTTAATATTTTAAGCTTAAATTTATCCAAAGTTCACTTAGTGCAGCTAGTTCATTATATCATAATTCACTAACTATATTTAAACAATTAGATAAATGATTATTATTTTTAATAAATCTGATTAAATTATTAATTATGGTTTACACCT